GAAAGAAATTAAGGGAAAAAGGAAAGGAGGCGTTGGGGCTCGATCTTGGGTCCCCAAGGCGTGTGGATCAAACTAAAATAAATAAAAATGTACGTGTTGTACAAGGAATTCAAAATCGGGTTCCCTTGTCCAAATTCCGCATTGATACATAAATCAAATGTGAATAAATGTTCAAAAACAATGTTGCCTACATAGATCGAAATCGAGATCTTGGAATACTTATAAGATCCATAAGTCTTGTACCACATAATCTTAGTAAGATATGAATCACTTAAACGAACTATGATTAAAGCCTCATGGCTTGTACATATAGACCCATAAGTCTAGCATACGTGTAAAGTAAGTGAATCTAAGATGTATGTAACGAAATGATGAAACCCTAAAAGGATCAAGTAAGAGTATGAAACACACTAAATGACCAAGTGCATTGACATATGATGAAATGAACATTCACATAAAAAGGGGTGAGTAATTATGAAGAGCAAATATGTTTAAGTTAATGAATGTGGTGATAACATGATAAGAGGATAATGTGAAAGATGAGAGCAATCTCAAATGAGCCTAAGTAAATGTTACCAAAACGTACTCACCTATGAGAGTGTAAAGCTAAAGAAAAGACCAGTCTCTATAAACACTCTAACGAAAGTATTGACATTAATGTATATTTAATACTAATGATGAGATGAGATCATTTATTGAGCTATGATGTCCTCATACTAGAAGCCAACTTCCATGACGTATGAGTTGAATGTAATGGAACTTTATATTGAGGACCCATACGCTAGCTATGAGCGGTGATGCCTTCTTTCGATAAAGGTGGAGGTTCACGTAACTCTCATGAGATGAGATCGACCGGCATGCCGGGTATGGGTCTCCTTATATATCCTACTCTTTGAACCTATACTGCCAATATAGGGATCTAGTAGGGTTCAATTCCCTATGTACACTAACATGTTTTGGGTCACTTTGGCCGGTGATTCCACCTCTTTTCGATGTGGGGCAGACACTGGATGTCATGATGCTCACATGATCTATGTCGTTTAATGTTAAAGTTCCCAAATGACTGAATGAGGCCAGCCTCAAATGATGCACATAATGATATGAACGATACCAAAGCTGTTAGGATAGGATAATCAAGAGGTGATCTAGACTCAAGTAATGACACTGGGTTATTCTTGATCATTGCACAACAAACCCGATGAGAGTCTTAAACTACATCCTAGGTATGACTAGTGTTTACACTAGCTTATGAATGAATGAAATGAAGTACGTATGACTGAATAAAGTAGACTCTGTGTTTGCTAAATAAGGCTCCCTAGTTGAGGTCCCATATGTTGAATACTCATTTTGGGAAGTCCTAATGTCAAGTTCATGATCCCAAGCTCTCATGGCATATGAAAGAATGATATGAACTATGTGATATGATATGTGCAATATGTTATGTGTTGTTTGCAAAATGATAAGTATGATGATACATGTTACTCTCATGGCATGACTTTCCTAAACCAAATTTGGCAAGTCCCCTGACTATCCTAATTCAAATTTGGCAAGTCCCTTACTATCCTAAGCCCAATTTGGCAAGTCCACTAACTTGACTTTCCATAAATCATGTTGTTAGGAAGGAACTATTTTTACTTGTTAGGAAAGAACTATTTTTACTCATACATGTCCTTGGTGTGTGCTTGCATATACCCATACTTAGTACAAGTGTGTACTAATCCCATACAACTCTAAATTTTTAGGCGCAGGCGTAGGTGGACGTTAGAGCTTACAGATCGACGCTGAAGCTATCCGGACGTGGAGCATTCATTCGGACTTGGTAGGCCCTCATGCATTCGAGGACGCTTGCCCATTATATTCTAGATTAGTTATAGGATTGAGCTAGTGGAGTATGTTTCACTAGCGTTTCTTTCCCGTTTTATTTTGGACATTGTATTGGTGCCATTTTGGCAAGTATACACTTAATGCAGTATTGACCTATTTCTTTCATTTGATGTTTTTAATATTAGATGGTTGATGGTGAACGTATATGAATTTAAGTAGACTGACTTACATGCATGTTACAAAACAAAAAGTTTAACTTTTCCGCTAAAATTAATCTAGATGAAGTAAGGATGATGTATGTAGGATTGTCTGCGACCTTTGAGAGGTCAACGACACCGGTCTCGTTTGGTGTCTAGATTCCGGTCGTGACACCAAGTGGGTCAGTCGACGTCCTGTAGGTGGGGAGTCGTTGGTGCATACTTAGGCGTGAGGAAGGAGGGGACAAAGACCAGCCTCAGTCCCCAACCATGGACCAACAGAATTGTCTGTTGGTCAAGGGACGATCTATCGATGGTACTGTTTTTCCTGCAAAGTCACTGTAAGTTCAAGAGATGAATTGGTAAATTCACCCACGTCCAAATAAGACTTTGGGCGGTTCCTAAAGGGTCTTTCAGTATTTTAAACATGTATATAAGTCTTTAACACTTAGAAGATTTCAATCTTCAAAATAAAAAAAGATCAAAAATCCTTTAGAAATTCTCTAGAACTCCATTGGAGCCAAAACTTAAGGAAGGACTTGAATTGGAGAATTGAGTGAAGATTCTTCATCAAATTGGAGTATTAGCTTTATTAAGGTATGGTTTTTGATCCTTGAAACTCTATTAATCAAGGAGCTTAAATATCGAAGAAGTTTTCTAAAGTTTTCAAATATGAATTGTCCTATTTCATGATTTATCCATGGGTTCTTGCATTAAAGGTTTTAAGGCATTGTATATTGATTGAATTGTTATTAATTTGATGATTTTAACTTAATTAACCTATGAACCCATGTAATTAATGAACCCTAGTTTTTGATTACTTTATGGGTTAAGTGATTTGGACTTAATGCTTATGAATTCTAGTGTAGTTTTATATGGGCTATTGATTGATATAATAATTATATTGAATTGATATCTAGGTTGTCTTAGATTGATGAATCTATATTGAATTGACCTAGTATCATTGAGTATCATAGTTTTTATATCGAATTGTTGTTCATGGTCATGGGTAAGGGCCTTATGGTAGTGAATTGGATGGTTTAGCATTGGATTGAAGTGTTGGGGATGGAGTGGTGGTACACTGTCCTTTATTTTATGTTAATTAGACTTCAATTATATTGTGATTGGTATGGTCTACTTATGGTGGCAGTATTACGTGCTTTAATTGCAATTGATGTGGCCTTGTCAGCGTTACTTTATGTTAATGATGACCATGGCCTTGTAGGCAACTACTTGAAGTATTTTTGGTGATTTGTATAGTTGATTATGTGAAGTTGGATAATATCTATCTAAATGATAAGTGATGTGAAAGTATATGTGTTCTTCTATTGATGCTATTTAGGTGATCATGTAAGACTATGACTATGTCTTTATGTGTATAGTCTTAGGGTTGATGCATGGTTATTCCTACTTGACTATATGAGTCTATGATGATTCTATTGATGATGATATGGTAGTGTATAGGATGACTTAAGTATGATAATGGTTATTTGTATGAGCTTCTAGAATGATATGTAATATGTGTTAAAAGTGAAGTATGTTGTGTCTTGTCTTGGTTGACTTGTGTCCCTTACTTGTGCATGTATGAACGTGAATATGAGATGTCTTAACTTAGGATGCTAAAGCCTTTTTTCCTTGTATGTATGAATGACATGTGACTTTGAAGAATGTTAAGAGGGTCTTTGTGTGGACCTTGAACCTAGTGGTAAGGTTATGAATGTTGAAGTCGAAAGCCGTAATAGTATCCTTCAAGTAAAGGAATGATAGACTTAAGATTGGTTGGCTGGAACGACATCATATCAATCCTTAGGGAAGTCATTATGAGCTTCTTGTCGCCATTGTAAGGTTTTCCTTGGGGGCCTCTTTGGTAGGGTAAATGTGATTTTATGAACTAGATATGGAACCCCTTTATGTGAATCTTTAATGTAAATTACTCTATGAGAACAAAGGCTAGCATTGAGTGAGTATGGTAAGGGAAGTAGCTCTAGTTAAAGGACGAGACAAGAGTACAAAGCACACCCTTTATATTCCTTAACCATAAACCTACATGGGATGTGTGTAGCTCTACCATTGGCAAGTAGAACACCTTCATCGGAGTAGGTTAGAACTATGGATTCCATGTCTAGATACCATGGTTTATATCGGTTATTGCCTATTCTTATCATATGGGATACCTACTAGCATTAGAGAAGTTCTATGAGGTTTAGATGGTGGTATGACACTATCTAGACATTGCACAATAGACTTTGAAGGTGTTAGTGAGAGTCCCTAAGTCTTGTCCAAGACCATTACTTGAATGTCTTTATGTGATGAATGAGTCTTAAATAAAATAATGAATGCAATGACTTAAGTTAAGAAAACATGTTAAATGAATAAGTACTTACCTAGAGTAGTTAAACGTTGTCTAGTTGAGGTGTGAAGGGGCATAGGAATGGTCACTTCGTATCTTACCTAGATAAGTCTTAAGAATGACTTTGTTAGGGAAGATGTTGATTATGTGCACATGATCTAAGCCTTAGGTAGTCTTAAAGATTATTTAGGTAGTCTTGAAGAGGTCAAATCATGGACGTTAGCTTCTTGATTTACTTAAGTAAGTCTTTTGATAGCCTTTGGAAGAAGAATGTCATGTTTATGTGTTTGGTGTCTTGTAAGTGTGTGTTGATCTCATTGTAGGTGGTCTTGAGGATCATTTAGGTGTGCCTAGAGAGAATGTATGTGCCGTCTCTCTTTGTCTTACTTAACTGAGTCTTAGAACAACTTTTAGTAAGGAGATATGCATGCTAGAAGGTGTCTAAAATAAAACTAAGAGAACTTCATTGTACAGTGAAGTGGGTTACTGTAATGTGACTCCTAAAAATGTGATCAGTGCTCTAGGTGATTTCTTAGGAATTTGTACATGTGTTTGTACTAATTCCATGCTTTTATCTATTTCTATAGTGGTTGGTAGGTGAGGAGCATTTGGAAAGCAAGACTTGGATCGTAGCATCATTCAATTGAAGTTGAAGTATGTCCTCATTGACTCGAGGGCATAAGATGTTTTTTGTTTTCTTCATCGGAGTATTTTAATAGACTAAATATTTCTATATTTTGAAGTATGAGTCATAACCTAAGTATTTTTGTGTCTAAGTTTTGATGAGATTGAGACATGGTATTTCGATGATTTCTAATGAAAGATTTTATTAAAGATATTTTAATGTTTTGTGAAAATTTTTCATTCCGCACTACTTTTCACTATGTATAAGCGACGAACGATACGAAAAGAATTTGTACAAAACCTCCAAAAAGTCAAGTACGCCAATCACAATCCGAGATTGGCTCTAACTTCTAGGGTTTGATCTCGGACGGTGGCATCCTAAATTTACACATTTCATTTAATTTTCTCAACAGGCGAGCCATTTGGTCTTTTCCACGAAACCGTCAGCGGCGGTGCACCACCCCATCTCTGTCCTAAGATGGAGGAAGAAAAGGCCGCAGCATACTACGACGAACTTACACGAAAAGGAGAAGGCGCCGCAAGATTCAAGCAAGGTCTAGGCTTTTCTTCAACTTCAAATGATGCCGTACCCATCCGTGGCTCTGCTCTCGTTTCTTCCTCTTCATTTCTAGGTAGCTTTGTCAGGGCATCAAGCCCGTCCAAAACCACCGAGTTCGAAAAACAAGCTCAGCTCCAAACCATCCAAAACAAGCTAAAGAATAAACCTAAAGATTGCCTTTCTTGTAGGGTTTCCACAAGTCCAAGTCGCGAAAAACGTTCCAGCCGGAGAAGCCCGAGTCGAAGCCACAAGTTAAGGCGACGGAGTCGAAGCCGGAACAGAGATAAAGAGAGGCATTCGAGGTGGAGTGAAAACCGGGATGCTTATAGGTCGAAGCGTCCACATAGGTCGACAAGTAGAAGTAGAAGTAGAAGTAGAGACAGATATAAACATAGACAAAAAGAGAAGCAGAATACAAAGAGGACAAGGAGTGTGTCACCACGGGATCAAAGACCGGGGAAAGTTGGCAAAGATAGAGCTGCTATGGTAGATTATAGCAAATTGATTGAAGGTTATCAAACTACGGTAAGTTTCATTCTTATTTCTCAATATTACTTGGTTTGGTTATAATTTGTGCTGTTTTTGGTGTTAATATCACACACATTCTAGGCAGTGAGCGAAGCAGATTGGTACAATATTCTCATTGTCTTTAAAAGTGTCAATTGTACATCCTGATCTCAATTGTACAGTATGTTTTTGAGGAGAATGCCACTACTGACCAGAACTGTGATCTTGTCCGCTAGAGAAGCTTGCAGTCATTTTAACAATTCCAGAGTTTTTAACAGAATGCTGGAATGTGTAGAATGTTTGAATTTATGTTCACATATTACACTCGATCTTAGTTACTCCTTCCATCCAAATTTCATCCTAGCCTACTTCCCTTTTTAGTCTATCTAAAAAAAAAGAGCACTTACTAGTTACTTCCTTATCTATCGACAATTTAACTTTAAACTTTTCATTTACCTGGAGATGGGTTATAGCCACACATATGTCACTTGTTTTGCATGGAAATTTTCAGAAGTTTTTTTTTATTTCTTAAACTCATGAGTCAAATACCACCAGATTAATTGGGACGAAGGTGTTGTATATAATAAGGTGACACACTCTTGCATTCAAATCCAATGATAAAAAAGCATCTTACTATGGTTGCTGAATAGGAAGATTGGATAATGTTAGGGGTATGCAAAAACCGAATTGCCCAATAAATGGAACCGAAAAAATGTTATTGGGTTTATAAAAAAGTTAGCGGGTTATTGGTTCATTTTCGGTTTTCACTATTGAGTTATTGGGTAAATTGATGACCCAATGAAACGATAATAATTTACTACTTTACCCTTCCTAAATGTTAAATATTAATAATTCAATATATAACTTGACACTACAGCTATTATAGTACTCTACCCACTTTACTGGAAACTTAAAAACTGAAGTAAGGGTTTACAATTATAGCTATTTGATTTTAGCTTTAGTTTTAGTCTTGTTGGACTATTTTGTTTTAGTTTTAGTTTTAGTTTGTAATTGTAGGTTGTAGCTTTTGCAAGTTCGTAAAGGTTTGTAATTTGATTAACATATGAAATTTCATACTATGTTTTGGTGGTGACATGTAATTATAGTCTTAATACTAAATTTTCTCTTATTGATGCAATTTTTCATTAACGTTTGTGTTTTACTATATGAAAGCATTTAAATAAGTGAGAAGTCATATAATATTTTACAGACATTTTCTTATTGGGTAAACTGAAAACGACCAAAAATTGATAAATCAAACTGATAATCCATAAAGCTGAACCGAACCAAACCGAACCGACCGATGCAACCCCTGGATAATGTTGCCTGAAGATGTTGCCTTTATGTTTTATGCTATAAGGATGATTGGATTGTAAAGCACGATATAGATTCTTTGCGTTGTTAATTTCTGTAAATGTGTTTCAGACCGATGTACTTACAAATTTGTCAAAACTAAAGAATAAGGAATCTTCTGATTATCGAGCACATTAAAATTACCCTTTAGTTGCATAGTGGATTTTATCAATGCTCCCATATCCGTATATTTCCTCTAACTATCCATTTGAGGCTTCAAAGATGTGATAATGGACTGGAAATCACATATATTGATGTTGCTTTCATCATCCGCAAGTTCTCTTAATTGTTAGTGGTTACCAAGTAGGTGCAACCAATATTTTGGATCCATAGCCTTAAATTTGTTTGTTGGACTTTTTTGTTGTATCCTCTAAGATCTGTTTTTTGATAAATCCCCTAATATCTGCAAGTACTTTGTTTCAGATTATGAAGCCTGATGTCCTCATCCTTTCTTAGATGAGTTTCTTGTGAATACAAAGTTACCCTTCTCTCAAAAAAATAATTATGAAGCCTGATATTGTTTATTTTTTGTTTCTATGTTGAACAGACTCCAGCTGAAAGAGTCAAAGCCAAAATGAAATTTCAACTTTCAGAAAGTGGTAATTATAACTTCTTTTTCTGGTCTTTTTTGGATAATATTCTTCACTTGTGGATGCCTAATATGTAAATTTCGCTATTTAATGTACTATACAGTGGATACTAATATGTTTTAATTAGTTGAGGAGATATTACCTAGTTCTACTGATGGTTATGGGGCTGTTAACTCTTTCTAGAAAAAATGATATAACAATAGTGATGATGCTAACAGGAAGGTCTAAGCCTATCATCAATACATGCAAGAAATAGCAGAACTAGTACTCCCTCTAGTCTAAGTGAATTGTTGGGTATGACACACCTCTTAAGAAACATGTTTAAGGGCATAAATTGAAGGCTACTTTCTACTTTTGCGACCTTCAGATTAATTTGTAAATTATTCTCCTAGGAAATGTGAAGTAGTTAAGAACCTCATTAAAAATAAAGGTAAATGTGGAAAAAAATCTCAATGATTTTCATGAATTTTAAAAATTCTATTAGTTTGAAGTAAGAAAAAAGTTGCAACATTTTACTTAGGGACCGTTTGGCCATATGAGATAAAATCATGATATGAAAGCTTATGAGAGGGAGATATAGGAAATAATGTTGAGTACATTTCGGAAGCCACAACAAAGGAGATTAGCAGCGACAAAGCCGATTTGGCTACGAAAATCTCGAAGGACCAAAGCACCATAGTTTCCATGTAGAATGACACATAAATTGAAGAGTGGATGGTGGAAGATCTTGAACCAATCCAACAGGATCAGAGTCTTACTATCCAAAAGGAGGAGGAGACATTTGCATGGGTAAGACAAAATCTGATTAAGTTGGGCAAAATGTTTATAGTCGACATGAGGAGTCTTTGGAGTTACTTATGCAAATAGACAACTCTGGAAGGCTAGAAAGATGGAAAACGATTCCATCACTAATAAGTCTAGATACAAGGGGTTTAGGAGCTTAAAAAGCTTTCATCTGTTGACATCAATTTCAAAAGTGATGGAAGAAGAGAGACGGGGAAAAGAGGACAATGTTTTACCATGAAAGTAAAATTTGTCTCCTGGAATGTGAGGGGACTTAATAGTGGGGATTAAGAAGATTGGTGAAGAGCTTAATTCTCAACTGGAATGTAGACATAGTCTGTCGAGAGGAATTTAAGCTAGAGGGGGAGTTTAAAGATATGATAAAAGAATTATGGGGTGCAAGATGGGACAAATATGCTCGTCTTCAAGCTAGTTGCACTAGAGGGGGAATTCTGATGTTATGGGATAGCGAGAGGGGAAGTTCTATAAGTTGGCTCTTACACTCTTACATGTAAACATGAGGCTCTATTGGAGGATTATAAGTGTCATAGTAGGAGTACATGGTCGAAATTGTATGTTTGAAAGAGAACATGTAACAGGAAATAGGAGTTGTCAAAAGTTTGTTTGAGGAACCATGCTAGTTGCACTAGACAGGGGATTCTGATGTTACGGGATAGCGAGAGGGGAAATTCTGTAAATTGGCTCTTACACTCTTTCATGTAAACTTGAGGCTCCATTGCAGGACTATAAGTGTCATAGAATAGGAGTATGTGGTCCAAAATGTATGTTTGAAAGAGAACATGTAAGGGGAAATATGATCTGTCAAAAGTTTGTTTAAGGGACCGTTGACAATCTATGGTGACTTCAATGTCACGAGTTTCCACCTGAGAAGAGAAATTGCAAAAGGAGAACAACAATGAAAGATTTTTGAAATTTCATTGAAGACATGGATCTTTTGGGTTAAGGAGGTGTTTTATTTGGTTCAAAGGAGACAAGAACAATGCTGCTTCTAGAATTGATAGGGTTCTGATATATAAGGAGTGGGTTGACAATTTCAGCAAAATTAAACAGGTTGTGTTGCAGAGATTATGCTTAGATCACAATCCAGTTGCACTACAATGCGGAAACAATCAGAATGTGTCATGAAAACATTGAGAGTGGAAGTTCTTGAAAGTTTTCATGATAAACTCCAATTTTTTGCTGAAACTGCTCTCATGTATGGTTTTTGGAAGGAAGTGGGTTCAATGGGTAAGATATTGCATCTCCACCAAAAGATTTTCAGTTCTTATCAATGGATCACCTGAAGGCTTTTCCCCTACAAAAAGTGGCTTGAGGCAGGGAGATTCTTTGCCTTCTCTCTTTAAAATGAATCACAAACCAAACCCCAAGTTCAAATGCCAACATGGAAGTCACATACCTGCAGTATGCTGATGATACCTTAATCTTTTGTGATGCTGAGGGAGGGCAAGTACTGATCCTAAGATCAATTTTACTGCTTTTTGAGGGCTTTTCTGGACTACATATTAGTGGGAGGAAAAGCTAGTTGTTCTCGACCAATGAAGTCCCTAATATGTTGGAGTTATCTGGAATTCTAGGAGGGGAAGTAGGCTCCTTGTCTTCTATGTACCTATGTATGCCTCTAGGTTGTCAAAGGCCATGAGCTTTTGGAACTCAATGATTGGAAAGTGTGAGAAAAAGTTAACTAGATGGAGATCTCAATACATCTCCTTTGGTATGCCCCTAGGTGTCAAGTTAAAGGCCATGGACATTTGGAACTCAGTGATTGGAAAGTGTGAGAAGAAGTTAACTATATGGAAATCTCAAGACATCTGCTTAGATGGCTGAGTAACTTTCATCAATTTTCTTTTGGATGCTCTCTCAACCAACATGATGTCTATCTTTCCCATTCCGGATGGAGAGATAAAAAGTTTAGACAAGATTGGAGAGATTTTCTTCTGAAAGGGATTGAGAAAGATGACTCTACTGTTTGCACTTGGTGAAAATGAACGAGGTTCTATGGGGAAAGAAACAAGGGGGTTTAGGAGTGAGAAGTTTGAAAATTCAAACAAGGCACTCAGACTGAAGTGGTTGTGGAGATACTCACAAGAGCCTTAAGCACAATAGGGCTAAGTAATTAAAGCTAAACATGGAGAGGAGAACAAATGGAGGTATATACACCCTATGTTGTAAGTTTATGGAGATTTATTTGAATCTTTTAGCCTTTTTGAGAGGTAACACAACAATGAGGGTAGGCTATGGAAGTATGACCTCTTTTTGGGAGGACAAATGATTGGGAAATGCTAGTTTAAAAACCGTTTTCCCTCAGATGTATGTGTTGGTGGTAGTACATCAACAAATGAGTTTAGCTGACAATTCGACACAACAAGGAGGAACATCCAGTTTAGAAGGAGTTTTAATGACTGGGAAATTGAAACCGTGAAAGAATTTGTAGAGCTCTGGCAGAGTTCAAAGGGACAAGAATGAGGTATAGATTGTTGTGGAACAAAGATAGCAAAGGCAAGTTTTCGGTGAACTCAACACAAGTTTTTGAATGAAGGTGGCCAGCAACCACCACAATGGCCATGAAAAGAGATCTAGAAAACAAAAATTGCTTCAAGAAGGCATGTTTTACTTGGTTACCTGCAAGAGAAGCAGTTTTGACACAACAAAATCTCAAGAAGAGGAAGTTCTCTATGTGCTCTAGATGCTATTTGTGGAAGAGGTTGAGACAACCAACCATCTGTTTTTACCGGGCAAGATAACAACCCAACTTGGAGGATTTTTATCAGCCTTGGGGGAGTTGTTTGGACTATGCTTAGCAGAAACACCCACCTCCTCCATAGTTAGGAAGAGGTAGGTGGGGGAGATTCATACAAAAATAGATGGAGGATTGTGTAAGCCTATATCTGCTTGACAATCTGGAGAGAGAGAAGTGCTAGATGTTTTCATAGCAAAAGTTGTGTTCTTCAGAAGGTCAAATTGAACTGTATCAGACTTTTTTGTTTCTGTTGTTTCTGAGTCAATTATTCAGATCCTTTGCTCTATTTAGATTTTAGATTCAGATATCTTGTTTTGTTGATAAGTTGTAATTATGGTTCTAGTACACATGGGCCATGTACTGATTTTAGTCAATATATACGAATGTTACCTTTCTAAAGAAAATCATATAAGATGGAACTGAGTTTTGTTTGTACATACAATTTGGGTACTTTTTGCTTATAAACATAAAATCCTCAAATTATTAAAATTGCCCAACTCTATATACAATCTTACCAAATAAGCAAAAGTTCATAACAGAAGTATTATACATTATCCCAAAGCTGTTATAAAAGAAAACACAACATTTATGATCAAACTTTATTTCACTAAAAAAGTAAAAATTGAACATGAGTTCCCTAATGAGTTGCTGTATATTACTCTTACTATGAGCTGTTTGTCGGTCAATATCATTATGTTCGTGAATATTTCATTACTCTATTATTCTCTCAAAAAAATATGTCGATACGAATGATTTTCTTTACAAAATATCAACTTGTGGGTCTATTTTTTATGTGTAAATTATGAAATTATGATTTGACCTTTTGGAGAATTTGGGATTTCTGATATGAAATCGCATGTCCAAATGCTGATTTCATTTCATAGTTTCAAATTACAAGATTAAAACGCATGTCCAAACACCTGCTTAATATGGACTTGAGGGAGTATATCATAAGAACATATTGTAGCTTATAGGTTTATGTGAAGTATAGCCTTTTCCTAAATTCTTGCCCCGCTTTTTCTACATTTTTGTTTCATATTAGTTGTCTGCTTATCTTACAAGCTCATACAAACTCTGGTAGAGGTGGAAGCTTATCACTTAAACTTAATATGAGTATGGATTGAAGTAGCCCGTTGTTTTCTTTTGTTTCTTTTGACAGTTCGAAAAGATGAAACAATAAGCATGGGCTCGGGATGGGAGCGTTTTGACTTTGACAAGGATGCCCCTTTGGATGACAACGAGATTGAAGGTTAGCTATTTGGTTGCTATTGTTTACATATGAACATTGTCAAATTGAATCCTTTACATTATCACTTTTAGTAGGATTCTTATTGTTGCTGCAACCAGGCAGTGGTCATAGGGTGAACCATATAACTAAAATCAGATTCCAGGTGTCTTGCACTGAGCTAGTTAAAAGGATGGACTTCAATATTCTTCCTTTATTTCCTACTTGTATAGCTATTTGTAGCTTGCTAGAAATCTTCAATGTAATGATGATTCCATAGGATGCAGAATTCCAATACACTAACGGTCAACGTGCATATAAGATGCAAACTAAAACAACATTTAGGTTGCGTAGCTTGTGTATGAAGGATTTGTTTGTTCATTGAAATATTCATATCGCAAGGAAACATCTTAAGTTGGATGAGGTTTTCACCGCTAATAAAACAAATGTACTATAATTTATACATTACTCCCTCCGTTTCAAAAAGAATGGTCTCCTTTCCTTTTTAGTCTGTATAAGAAAGAATAACTTCTTTCTCTTTTTTTGTTAATATTTAAATTTCAACTTTCCACGAGGCATATTTAAGGCCAACAAGATCAAAGGACAATTTTGTACATTTGAGATAACTTTAGTTTAGGACCACAAGATTCAGAAGTCTTTTTATTTTCTTAAACTCCATGCCAAGTCAAACTAGGTCATTCTTTGTGAAACGGAGGGACTGTTAATCTTGTGGAGATGTGGATGATTAGTTTGGTTCGCATGAAACTAAGGTGACTTTCCTTAAGGGGGGGGGGGTCAAAGTATAAATAAAGAAGCAAATATGTGAAAATTATAAGATGAAAAATGGAGCGAGACAAGGAAGGAATGCCTTGTCATGTCGTGTTTAGCTTCTTCCTACTTTTATCCTGCTCTATTGAACCTTTTAGAATTCTTGTCTTCTTTCTTTCTTTTATTTTCTAGTATTTCACTTCAGTTTGAACTTTCTTTAAATTTTGAAATAGTGTCCATTCGATCATATGTTACTTTGAAAATCACTAAGCTTGTTTACAAGGTGTAAGGATTGAGTTACTAATATTATAATGCATATTCAGTAGATAAATAAATGACATTGTCGATTTCTCAATTCATTTAATTATATTTACTAGATTAGTCATTTGTAAAACAAGTAAATGATGAGTAACTCAAATAACTTTAGTTTGGTTTCGATCTCTTTAAAATGGAATGGGAAAAAATAAGAAACAAATACTATGAAATTAAAGAAAGAAATTCAATTAAATAGATATTGTTAAAAGGATATCCACGACTTTCAAATTTCTTCATTTGATTAAATTAAAATTACCTTACTTACATAATTTTTTGCCTAACTCAATTGCAAGTTTAATAGCAATTCATTGTTTTTTCAAGTGTTTCTTCCAGTTAGTACATGGAATGAGAGTTATGAAGAAATGAAGTGAGCAATAGAAATAAGAAGAATAAAAGAAAAAAATACAAAGAATGTGCCTACTATATTTAAACAAAACCTAATTGAGAAGAAATGAAATAGAAGAGAAAAAAATGAATATAGCTTCACATTGAGCCCAAAAGCAATGGGAAAAATAATGAAAAAGAAAATAAAGTTTCAGATTGTGCCCAAAATTAATGAGGCTTTTTCATTGGGTTGGTATTCTGAGCTCAAAAGTTGAGCCCATCGCTTAGCCTATGGGACTTTCCAAAGCAAAAAGAAGAGGGGGGGGGGGGGGAGGGGGAGGGGATAGTGCACATAGTGGGACTTGAACCAGAGCATCAAAGACAAAATTTGAACTTTCTTAGTCATCGAGTTAAGCTTCTGTTCAGGGGATTTTATATTATATTATATATATATATATATATATATATATATATATATATTCAAAATTGGAGCTTACATATTCGGCGTAATTTTTCGATGAAGGGGGTCCCCCGGGCTCCACGTAGCTCCTCCCCTGACGGGGGACCTCCGTTCTTGCTTATATTGATATTTTTGTAGAAAGAAAAGTTCCTTTATTTGCTGACACTGATGCACTGTTGATTGCTTTAGCTGTAGAAGATGATGGTGCTTTAGTCGACCACATTGGTAAAAGCTTTCGGTTTTCTACGGTGGAGGTACACACCTCTTTTTCTTTGTATCATTTACTTCTCATAACTGTGTTGCAAATGGGCTGTGATCATGCCAAAGCGCTAAGATGTTTTTGCTGTTAATTTTTTTTGTTGATTTGAAGACTAGGAGGGAGGAACAAATTGAGGCTGCTCATGATGAGGCTATTTTTGGAGCTCCCTCACTATTGCCATGTTCACCTTCCTCAGAAACAAATGATGAAGCAGAAGATAAGAATGTCAAAAAGGACATATCTGAAATTGCAACTGCTACAAGTCTCATCAATGGACAGGTGATATCTTAAATCTTATCATAGTAGGTTTTTGCTAATTATTAGAGTACCGTGGTTAGGTTTTCACCCCTTTATCTTCATTTTTGGTTCCACTCTGCTTAATCATTCTTGTATTATATGAATTAGGCACTGGCAATGCAGCAAGGTTCTTGGCGTGATCGTGTGCGTAAATCATAACTTGTTTGAATGCTTGGAAGACTTGATCATGCCAAGTATTTGGTTTATGCAAATGGAGGGTTTTTGTATTTGTTCTTGTCTTGTGTGGGTTGTTGCCCCCTGCTTTTTGAAATAGTGCAAGGTCCTCGTTTGTTCTGGGAAAATTGTGAAGAAGGGTATTTATGGAGTTGGGTTTTCAGCTTTAAAATATCCATTGTAGGTAATTAATTATCTGTCATATTCTAATTTTCTTATGGAGAACTAGCAAGGAACCAGTTGCAAATATTTTTCTGTAAATATTCTCCTATTTTGTTGGTTTTACACCTGTTCGGTACTAGCCCCGACGCTCCCTAACGAAGGCGACTCCGTAGCTATGGGCTTTGAATTCGAGGTCTCTTGGTTAAGGATGAATGAGTACTTACCTTCATCACAACCCTTGTTGGTCTGTAAATATTCTCTTTCATACTCTTAAACTTTGAATTCAGCAGCCCTTGTATAGTTTGTATGTGGACGTCAAGTGTAGTGCTTTTGCCAAGATTCGTCACATGTAAATAAAATTCGGTTATGAAACATAGGCCATAGAATAGTCATAGAAATCTTCATTGAGAATCATATTTTCAAACTAAGCTTCAATCATACTGGGTGTGTAGTGTATTGCACTCCATATTTAATGGGAGATTTACAAATAGAGGGTGCACATGATATGGTATTGTGGTATATACCGAAATGTCATATTGTACTGAAAAATTGAATATCGTTGTTCTAGTATTATGATATTTGGTATGGTATATACTGAAATGTCATAATGTACTGAATTTGAATATCGTTGTTTTAGTATTATGATATTTGGTATGATATATAGTATACATTTTATTTTTATTTGGTATTTTAGTATAATATTTAAAAATAGTATAACTTCCCTGAATCCCATAGTGTAAGATTTAAATTACATTCTATCCCTACTTTTTAAAAATTTACGAAAGTCCCTTAAAAATAATGTTATTCGGATACATAGCAAATAAGTTGGATAGAATGTATCCAAATAAGATTTAAATTACATTCTATCCCGACATATGATTTGATCCGTATGGTTTCAAACAATTCAAATTTTCATCTTTTATTTCTTTCCTAAATCATAATAGATTTTAAAAGTTGAAAACAATAGCCGATACATGATCATGAATACGTTCAAGAATCTGGAAAATCAAGGTGAGTTATGAATGATACATAAGTGGGATTTTAAATTTCTTCTTCCAATTCATCGAAGATCCTTTCAATTTTGATTCAAAATCCAAAAAACAATGAGAAGGTACATCATGAATATTTTGATTTTGCTAAGACAATGAAGAATCTGGAAAAAAAACCTGTCATTCAAAAATCTGGAAAAAAATATGAGTCTCGATTTGCAATGTATAAAATAGATCAGAGTTTTAGTTGCATAATAAAATAGATCAGACAAGCAGAGGTATGAAACTACATATATTGTGTTGTTAATTTGATTTTTATTTATATTTTTGAGATGACCATTCAATTGTGATACATTAGTATTTGTGTTTCTTGTATAAATTGATAAGTACTATACTCCTATTAATTATACATTAAATAAGTAATCTTGAAATTAAAAATCAACAAGTTACAGTGTGATACATGTAATATTAATTTAAATTATGGTTTCATTACCAATTAAGTTCGTAGCTTCTATCAATTTCGCCATATGCCCCTTTCTTTTTGTTTTGAGATTAGGATCATTAATATGCAACTTAGTATTAGTATAAACTAAATGTTTTGAAGTTGACTACTATATTTAATTGGGATGTATTAGCATAAACTAAATGTTTTGAACTGACTACTATATTTAATTAGGATGTATTTGATTGACCAAGGATTTGTTAGTACTTTATAATGAATATATATTTTTACATATGTAATGTGTTAATATGATACAATTGAACTTTTTTTAGTTCCCACAAATAGACTCACTAAGGGCCTCAGTTGCAGAATAAAGTTTTTCTTTCGTGTCCTGTGTGTCCTCTTGCAAGATAAACTAGATTCCCCTTCTCTTCTAGCACTAATAAAATTGTATCTCCTTTTGAAATTCTGCATATGGATGTTTGGGGGCCTTATAAGCAATGTTCTTATAATGGTTATGTGTTTTTTCTTGCCATTACTGATGAGTACTCCTGAATGACTTGGATTTTCTTGTTGAGATACAAAGTGAAGTTGTGACTTTTATCACAATATTTATTAGTCTCATCAAAAATCAGTTTTCAACTTCTATTATAATTGTTAGTTCAGACAATGGTCTTGGAACTTTTTAACTCACAATATCACTCTTTTTACTTCTCTTGGTATAATTCACTAGAGTACTTGTGTCCACACACCTCAACAAAATGACATTGCGGAAACAAAACATAGACATGTTTTTGAAATGGCAAGGGCACTCAGGTTCCAAGATCATCCACTCTTAAATAGACTTCCCTCATCAATTTTGGCAGGAAAATCTCTGTATGAGGTCTTCCATAATCAAGTGCCCAAATTACACCATTTACGAGTTTTTGACTGCTTGTGTTATGCCACTAGACCGATCACCACTGTCAATTTTTCTCCCAAGGCAATTACTTTTGTTTTTATGGGCTATTTTGATACACAAAAAGGTTACAAACTTTACAATAATGCCACAAGTTCCGTTTATGTTAACAAAGATGTATCCTTTAAGGAGGATATTTTTCCATTTAAACATCCCAAACATACTCTTCTAGATTCACAACCTCATCATACTCCTATTTTTCTAGTCTCTTTATCTGCATTCCCTAGCCCTGCAAATGATTGTTGTCCTGCTATCTTTTCAAACCCTCAAACCAGTCATCCTCTTGTCACACCTGATCCTCAGTCCATCAATTCACATACCATTCCTTCACCCTCAGTTCTTAACTCCCCATCACCTTGTAGAGATATTTTAGGGCTTGTAGAGATATTCTGTAATATTTTAAAATAGGAACTCGATTCTGGATATCATTGTAAAATAGGAAGATATTAGTTCTTTTCGTATATTGTTACTTAGTTGTAGTTATATAATCATGTACATGCATCATTTGGAAAATAATAGAATACAAAAAAAGAAAATATTTTGTTCAAGATTTGAACTTAGTATCAGCGTCATGGACAAATCAGATGGTTCTAACTCTACCTGTAAAATAGGAAGATATTAGTTTTTTCCATATATTGTGACTTAGTTGTAGTTATATAATCATGTACATGCATCCTTTGAAAAATAATAGAATACAAATAAAGGAAATATTTTGTTCAAGATTTGAACTTGGTATCAGCGCCATGGACAAATCAGATGCTTCTAACTCTACTCGATTGTCATTCAATCTGAAAATTCCTCTTTCAATGCAGGAATTATTATAAATTAAACTAATTATAATGTGTGGTCTCAAATCATATAGATGCATATTGGTGAAAAAGAGAAATTTTCGTTTCTTCATGGGAATACACAACCACCTACTAAAAAAGATGAAGGACATGATAAATGGTACACAATAGTGTTTTCAAAAATGTTTTTGGGGCGAGTCTCAGAGTGAGTCTCGGGGCATGGCATACGAAAAATACTCTAGGGCGTAAATTAAAAATGTAGATCATAAGGTCTAAGTCCTAAAATTTGAGGCGTAAGCCCTGAACATAAAAACGTAAGTCCTTGGCGTAAAAACGCACTCCCAAGCGTTTGAAATTTATTTTTAAGTTAAATTTAAATCATATTTTTATATTGGTGTAATGATATTTCTCAAATAATAATATAATACTTTTTCTTCATTATTGATTATTAATACTTATCTCAAATAAAAATTATAAATCATTGAAAAGTTTATTTTTGCTTATTTTACTAGTAATAAAAGTATGAAACTGAATATACATGATACTACACCAACTAGATTCATGAGACTTACACCTCACTCCGTACTATATAAAAAGCCTCGCCTCACACCCCCGCCTTTTAAAACACTTAGACAATCAAAAGGTGAAGAGGTGGACGTTGATGTCTATGTCTCCTGAGATCATGAAGCAATATATTGGCTTACCTACTGCTCAAGAAATATGGAAAGCTCTGTCAACAACCTTTTATGATGGAGCAGATGAACTAAAGTCTTCACTTTGAATCAAAAAGCCTTTTCTGCCAAACAAAATGACAGATCTCTGTCTTCCTACTATGGAGAATTGATTGAATTTTTTTGTGAGTTGGATCACCGTGATAAGGTGATCATGGAAAATGAAAAGGATGTCAGTTCTTACCGCAAGTCTATTCAAAAACAAAAGGTGCACATCTTTCTTGCTGGCTTGGATGGTGAATTTGAACAAATTCGTGGGAAAATCTTGATGAAGGATCATGTTTCAGAATTAGAAGAATGTTACTCAATGGTTTGTCGTGAAAATGTTGGGCATGCAATAGTGAATGGAGATCTTGAAAAATCTGAAGTAGCCGCCATGGTGAGCAAATATAGATCTAATCAAAATCGATTCTCTCAAAATCAACTAGATCAAATGAGGTCTAAGGGTATCAAAATGTCCACTTATTAGTGTAATCATTTTGATCAGTCGGGGTTCACAAAAGATTGTTGTTTTGAGATTGTGGGATATCTAGAATGGTGGTATTAGAATTGTGATTCAAGAAAGAGAAATGCAAGCCAGAGTTCCACTGCTGCAACTGTAGAAACAAATGCCAAGGAAGATGTTGTTGGACAATCCACAACCTTGGTAGAAACGAGAGGTAACAATGGTGAGACTTTAAATTTATCTACACTTGTTTCTAATATACATGAATAATTTATTCCGGAGATACAAATCACATGATATTTGATTCTAGACAAGTTTCATCCCTTAAACCATTGTCACAAAAGTATGTTTCCACCGCTAATGGTTCTTCAACAAATATCATTGGGGAAGGATCTTTGTCTCTCATTAGTAATTTAAATTTAGACAATGTCTTAGTAGTTCCATTGTTGGATTACAACCTTTTGTCTATTTCTCAAATTACCACTACTCTATCTTTTGCTGTGATGTTTTGGCCTAACTATTGTGTGTTTGAGGACATCCAGACGATGAAGATGATTGATTATGGTACTAGACGAGAGAAGTTGCATTGCTTGAATTTGGAGTCAAAAAGTTCTAATCAGTTGCGCGAAGCATTACCGATTAATGTGTTTAGTTGTGAGGACAAAACAAGGAAATCTTATATTTGGCTATGGTATCGACGATTGGGACATGTTTCTTTTGGATATCTTAATAAGTTGTTTCCTTGGTTATTTACAAAATTTGATGTTTCTGATTTCCATTGTGATGTCTGTGAACTTTTAAAGAGTCAACGTGAAATGAAAAAAGTTCAATTCCTTTTATGATTATACATTCAGATATTTGAGGTCCATCCAAGGTGAATACGTTAGGTGGATCACGTTGGTTTGTTACTTTTATAGACGATTATACTAGAATGACTTGGTATGTTTGATGAAGTTCAAAAGTGAAGTGAATTTGTTGTTTCAAAAGTTTCATAAAATGATTTGCACTCAATATAATTGCCAAGTAAGAGTTCTACGTAGTGATAATGGGGGAGAATATTCCAACGGTGAACTTAAGCGATATTTAGAAACACATGGAATTGCTCATAAAACTACTTGTCCCAATATACCCCAATATAATGGGGTAGCCGAAAGAAAAAAATGTCATTTTTTAGAAGTTATTCGTGCTCTATTGACTGAAGTTCATCTACCACAATGTTATTGGGGAGAAGCACTCAATTGTGCAACATATTTAATTAATCGAGTGTCTTCTAGCAGAATTAACTTTAAAACAACATCTCAAGCTCTTCCTAAAGCGGTGATGCATCGACAGTCCCAAATTTGACTCCTTGCATTTTTGGTTGTGTAGTATTTGTACATATTCATAAGCATCAATGCGATAAACTATCCCCTCGTGCACTACAGTGTTTTTTTGGGATATGTTACTAATCAAAAGGGGTAAAAATGTTTTTATCCTCCAACTCAACGAATGTTTGTTACAATGGATGTTGTTTTTCACGAAGAGTCTGTATATTTTTCTAATGAAACAAAACTCTAAGGGGAGGATGTGAAGGATAGTTTGTCTCTAAATTATGAAAAATCGATACTTTCTGCACCAAGTAAACAGGTTGTATATGAATAAATTTATGTGACGGTGAACATCAAGAAATGAGACATAACCAAGATATGGTAGAATCAGATTTGGGTACTGCTGAAAATTAGGAAATTGATGAAGAAGATTTGGGTGCTACTGGAAATTAAGAAATTGGACAAGTTAATCCAATATCTTATGAACCCCTCATTCAACAAGCAACTGATATGCTAAATCAATCGTCACCAACTCCAAATGATTTTGGTTTTGTACCTGAACCATCAGTCAAACAACTACAAGCACGACACAATGAGGTTTTCCTAAACCCACCTATGAACAAAAAATTTCTGGTAGGACTGGATACCTATTGAGCTATTTTGTGTCTAATCATCGTTTGTTGGAATCGAATAAGTCATTTGTAAATCAATTATATGTTGTATCTATTCCTAATAATGTCCAGGAAGCCTTAACTGATCCAAAATGCAAAGCAGCTATCAATGAAGAGATGAAATCTTTGAACAAATGATACATAGGAACTTGTCGATTGTTCATCATGAAAGAAAATAGTTGGATGTCTATGGGTGAATATAGTCAAGTACAAAAAAGATGGTATGATAGAACGATTCAAAGCGAGGTTGGTGGATAAGGGATATACTCAGACTTATGGAATCGACTATACAAAAACATTTGTACCTGTTGCAAAAATCAACATAGTTCGAGTGCTATTATCCTTGGCTGCAAATTTTGATTGGCCACTACAACAATTTGATGTGAAAAATGCTTTTCTACATGGTGAGTTGTCTGAAGAAGTCTATATGGACTATCCTCGAGGGTATGGGATACCGAGATCACATGATCATAAAGTATGCAGATTGAAGAAATCACTTTATGGACTGAAACAATCACCAAGAGTGTGGTTTGAAAAATTCATCAAATGTATGAAGGCATTTGGCTATAGTCAAAGTAACACCGATCACACTTTGTTCTTAAAGAGACAACATGGTAAAATTCGAGATGAAGCACCTTGGCCCAAAATGGACCAAGTGTGATCGATGTTACTTTGAGTCGATTTACGCATTGGCGAGCAACATATGAACGCAACTATGTGCATCTTGAAATATTTGAAGTCTGTTCCAGCAAAGGGAATTTTGTTCACAAAATGTATAGATCCTCTAGTAATAAATGTATATAAGGATGTTGATTAGGCTGGAGATATCAATGACAGACGGTCTACTTGGGGATATTTCACTTTTGTGGGAGGAAATCTTGTTACATGGAGAAGCAAAAAGCAAAATGTTGTTGCTCAGTCAAGTGCGGAGGCGGAATTCAGAGGAATGAAACTTGGAATATGTGAAACTTTGGGGTTGGAACTTCTCTTAACAGATTTGGGTTATCCACCTAAGGCACCAATCCAACTATATTATGATAATAAGGCGGCACGTGATGATATTTGCACACAATTTGGTACAACACGGTCGTGCCAAGCATGTAGAAGTAGACAGGGTTTTCGTCAAGGAAAAGTTGGATGTAATGATATTAGAGTTACCCAAGATTCGATCAGAGGACCAATTGGATGATCTTCTTACTAAAGTAGTTTCGAGAAAAAATTTCTCCAAGTTTGTGAGCAAGTTGGGCATGTTTGACATCTATGCACCAACTTGAGGGGGAGTGTAGAGATATTTTGAGGATTTGTAGAGATATTCTGTAATCTTTTAAAATAAAAATTCGATTGTGATAATCTTTGGAAAACAGGAAGATATTAGTTCCTTCCATATATTGTAACTTAGTTGTAGTTATATAATCATGCACATGCCTCCTTTGAAAAAAAATACAATACAAAAAAAGGAAATATTCTGTTCAATATTTGAACCCTATCTTTCCTCATCTTACACCTCCACTTTCTCAAAGAAAATCTTCTAGTTCCACCAAACCACCCATCTGGCATACTGACTATGTCACTACTTCCAAAACATCTCATCCTATTTCTTCTTCCATGTCCTACTCTAATATCACACCTTATAAATCTCATATTTCCACATTTTTCTCTTCTATTCAGAACCCTCCTCTTTTGACCAGGCTTCCAACAATAGTAATTGGACTTTGGCTATGGACCAAGAGATTCAAGCTCTCACTGACAACCACACTAGGGAGGTTGTTGATTTGCCTCTAAAAATATTACCTATTGATTGGAAGTGGGTGTATGAGGTTAAGTACAAAGATGATGGCAACGTTGAAAGATATAAGGCCAGACTAGTTGCTAAGGGGTTCACATAGTTGGAAGGTTTGGACTACCATGATACCTTCTTCACTATGGTGAAAATAGTGACGGTGAGGTGTGTTATTGCTTTGGTTGCTCAGTCTAGTTGGTCTATTTTTCAGATGAATGTGTATAATGTCATCCTTCAAGGGGATTTATTTGGGGAGGTATATATGACCTTACCACCAGGATTTTTAAGCCAGGGAGAGCATAAAGTCTTTAGGCTGCTCAAGTCCTTGTATGAATTAAAACAAGCCAGCAGACAATGGAACTTGAAGCTTACTAATGCCCTCATCCACTCAAGGTTTACACAAAGCAAGCTGGACTATTCATTGTTTACTAAAACAAACACTGTTGGTGACATTGTAATTATACTTATACATGTGGATGACCTTTTTATCACCGGCACAAGAGGCTAAAGATGTCCTACATCATAACTTCAAGATGAAGGATTTGGGTGTATTAAGGTACTTCCTTGGTATAGAATTTGCAAGGTCAAAAAGTGGGATTTTGATGAACCAAAGGAGGTATGCTATGGAGTTAGTATCCGATTCTGGGCTAACGGTGGAAAGTCAACTACAACTCCTCTTGAACAAAACCAAAAGCATACAAGTTTGGAGTATGAAAATCAATTTAACATCACAAATGATTCTCAGTTAGAAGATCGAAGAGTCTATCAGAGGCTAATTGGGAGACTGTTAGACTTAGCCATGACAAGGCCAGATGTTTCTTAAGTTGTGCAGCATTTGAGTCATTTCATTCATTCACCAAAGAAGTCTCACTATGTTGCAGCCTTACATATAGTAAGTTACATTAAAGGGCAAACTGGCTTAGGACTATTGATGAGCAACTAGAAGTAGGGAAAATCAATGCTTAGTCTGATGTTGATTGTACATCATGTGTGTTTTCTAGAAAGTTTGTAACAGGTTTTGGTATTAAGATTGGTGAATCTCTGGTTTCTTGGAAGTCAAAGAAACAGAATATAGTCTCAAGGATTTCAGCTGAAGCTGAATATAGGAGTATGGCAACCACTGTGACAGAGTTGGTGTGGCTACAACGGTTATTGAAAGAAACTTGGAGCTCAAGTTGAGTTGCAAATGAAGTTACGCTGTGATAATAAAGAAGCAATGCAAATTGATTCAAATCCCATGTATCATGAACGAACAAAACATATAAAGATCGATCGTCATTTCATCAGAGAAGGGATGTAGGAAGGATCAATTAAGACTGTACACATAGCAAGCAGAGAGCAAGTGGCATATATTTTCACCAAGCAATGCGAAAACAATTACACAATGTTGTTCAAGTAAGGAATGGTGGACATATTCCACCATCCAACTTGAGGGGAGTGTTAGAAAGAATGTAATGCATAATTAGTTATAGCTAGTTGAGTTTGTTAAAATGTTATTAGTTAGTTACAATGCTAATTAAAAGTTAGTTAATTAGTCAGAAGGGATATATAAATAGGAACTCTTTCTCATTTGATAACGCAAGTTGGTTAATTCCTTTTCCTCTGTATTTCTTCCTTTCTCAATTCTTCTCTCAATTTCTCTCACATGGCTAGTAAGCTCACATTCAATAGTTTTGATAATTGCATATTTTAGGGTGCAAATTATAATCAAATGGTGACAGATTTTATGAAACTTTTGGTCACCCTAACATGCATCGTCTTCTGCACTACCACTTGTTTATGCTCACGCTACTTTCAAATAGTAGAACGATGAGAGAGGGGTTTGTCATCCCCTGAATATTAATGTAAATCCTCTCATTATATATATAGATGAAACAACTTGTCAAAAATGAACATCAATTGGAAACTAGGAGGAGGATATAAGTAACCATGAGCACATGGTTAAATATATACATACAATGACTTCATTTGCCTTGTGTCCAACTCAATTAGTATATAGTATTTAGTTAATTGTGCGAAAGCTTGCTCCATTATACCAAAAGTTGCCTGGTTCCTTGCCTGGCTCATCTGCAAGAGATCTTAAACAACATACATACTTGGCAATAAAGTCACTGTTTACTGATGGAATTTAATTTTTACTGTGAATGTGAAATAATAATCCAGGTATATTTAAGCATGGAAGAGAATATTACCACAAGACCTCAAGGCCATAATATGTCAAAGGTTTGGAACTTCCTTCTACGAGAACAACAGCACATCCTAACAAACAAGTAGATGTCCAAAGTAAATAATTAGAAACAATGGAGACACCAAATTATTATTCTTGGAAAATAAAAATGTATAGCTCTGTGTTGAAACATAATTTCGAGCACAGATAAAAAGGAGAGGAAGAAATCACCATATTTGGTGAAAACTGATCTCATGCGCTTCCATCCTTTGATTGCCTAAGCCTCCGTAGATGTTGAGCTATCTCTGTCAAGAGTTTGATTCCTTCATCGTCCCTCTGTAATGTCATAGTAGCATGTTTTAAAAACATGCTCTCTGCTTCGATGGCACTCAACCTCTCTCTAATTACTGAAACTTCTGTTCTAAGAATGGCCTTATTTTCACTTCCTACCAACAAGAAATTATAAATATGATCTGCAAAAGTCATGAGAAAACCAAAACAAAAAGATTGAATTACGTACGTACGAACCTTTTCCTTCAGATTCATAAAATCCATCCTTAGATGTTGTAATTTTGTCTTCAAGCTTGGTCAATAAACCCATGAGGTAACATCTCTCATGCTCAAAGTCAAGATGTGGTTCGAAAGGGCCTAATCTATGTTGGTCTCCTTCATCAGGACTGACACAAGTTGATCTTTCACTAAGGGATGAAAAAGAATAAGAATTCCACTCTTGATATTCACCAACTTCACACACCTCACTTCCTACTCCTTTCATATCTCCATATCTTTCCCTATATGTCTCAACAACAACTTCCATCACCTTTATGTCTTCTTCTCTTTTCAAAAGCAAATCTTTCATCACTTGCAAAGCCTCTTGATCGTATTCTGCCTGCTCCTCCATCATTCTCTGATACTGTAATGCCTCCATTTGGACAGCTGCCTTTTCTGCTTGCAAGCGAGTGATCATGGCCATCGCATTATTTGCTGCAACAGCAGCCGCACTTCTTTCCTCATCAAGTTCCATGTAAAGTGCAATGACAGACTTGTGGTCCAAATGGACTTGCCTCTTCAACCGATGTAGGATGTCATTATCTGATTCATTCACTACATCATTACTCTCTGAAATTAATTCCATACTCAATTTTCTAGGCCTGTGTGACCATCTTGGACTAGCTTGACATGAATCTGACAATGGTATACCAAAGAACATATTTCTTGTAAAATTTGCAGTTTTCAAGGCATTATCATTTATTTCCTCTGAAGCACCTTTAATATTATCCTCTCTACCTGCTGCAAGAAATTAAGAAGACATTATTATTATTATTATTATTATTCTTACTAGTTAGTTAGTCAGTAGTAAAAGAGGGGGGAAAATATATACCTCCATCATCCAAATCATTATCGGAGATGAACTTGAGCTGTGTGTAGTCCTCATTTCTCCAAGGAGCTTGAGAAGAAGGATTTGACTTTGATCTCATTTTGAGAGGCTCCCCACAACAAGAACACCAAACAAAAGAAGTTGTTGTTTGGAGCATAACCTCATTATCTTCCTTCTTCGTGTGAAGTGCATCCTTCACAAAGCAATCAATATCCTTGTGCAGAATCCCAACTAGTGACTTGTACCTATCACAATCAGCATCTTTCTCTGTCGCAAATGATAGAAGGCATCCCTCACACATGTTCTTTATATCAGAGAGTTTCTTGTGAACATGGCAATAAGCAAGGGAAGATATATCCTTCTTGTGAACTTCACATATAGAATCATTGTAATAAAAGCTTGCATCCCTATGAACGAGAATGTGATCGATCCTCGTGCAAAGCAAACAAGGGATTTTCAAGTCAAACAACTTGGCATATTCATTAGAGAAAAAAGCAAGAAACCCCTCAATGAAAAGCAAGAGGATCATCACCCATTCAAGAAGAGCATATATGAGGAAGAATGCAAATTTCCCCATCTTTTGTTCAACACAACACTTGAAAGCCATTATTCCTTTGTGTTTATTGATTGATGTATGACAAGATGAAGAAATTAATTAATCAAAAAAAAAAGGGGGGGGGGGGAATGAGATGAAGGATCATGACCATGGTAGGAAATTAAAGTGAAACCAGGATCATGACCTAAGCTCCCTCTCCTCACTATATCTTTGATTGATGATAATAGAGGAATAAGAGAGTTTGCATACTACTCCAAAATATTGGATGGTGTTGTTCATTTTGAGCTATATGTGAGTCAATGGTCACTCCTTTTATGTTGTCTGATCATTTACCTGAATTAACTCTCGTCCCTCCATTCCACCTTCCGCTTTCATCCAAAAATTATCAATGCCTCTTAAGTTAAATTGTTTCTTCCTATGTAATCAATATTGTTATATCTATATCAAGAAACGTGGTTTATTCCAAATATTTTATGTAAATAACAAATCTATTCTCTTCAAATCTGTTAGTATTTACTAAAAGAATCATTATTTTTACAATAGAAATTACATATATCTTTCTATTAAAAAAAAATACTTCCTTAATTATAAAATTGACTAAAAATGCATAAAGTAAAATAACTAACCGTTGGTCTAGTACAATATTCAAATTAAGATACTAAGATGCCACATGCTAACATATACTATGCAACAAACAACTTAAATTCTCAATAATGTAGTCACGTTAATACAAATACTTATATATATATATATATATATATATATATATATATATATATATATATATATATATATATATATATATATATATATATAATTAGAATATAATATAGGTTTGTATGGTTTTTTTACTTTTTGTTAAGGGCAAAAATAATTATTTATATTCCCGATTGGAAGATGAATAAAGCAGATAATTCACAAATTTACTCCAACATGAAACTAAAAGAAAGAACACATATTTAAGAGACTTTATGGTGGTTGATTTATGTACTGAAATATGATGATTTACTATTGAATATTTAATTTATTAAATAATTAATAACATTTAAATAAAATATAGGGGTAAAACTGTGATATAATTTTTACCTAAATTCTTCCTGCTTTTAGTATAGCTAATTTTGGACATGTGCAAAATATCCCATATTAATAAAAATGATCTTTTTAAAAGTAAATAATATTAAAATGTGTGTTATTTATTTCTTAAAACAAAAAAAATACAAACTCAAGATAAGTAAGAGCTTAATATATATTATATATATATATATATAATATATATATATATATATATATATATATATATATATATAGATAGATAGATAGATAGATAGATAGATAGATAGATAGATATATTATCCATGTTAAAACACAATTCACAAACACAAAATTACAATGAGCAGTGAAAATAAAAGAAAAACCAAATGAAAGTATGGTGATAAAAGTATATGAATAGTGAGAGGCAACCAAAATTATGATAACTTCAATAACCTCAATAACATGTTTTTATTAGAGTATAAAAAACACATGCTTACATAAAGTAATAAAATTATATATGAAGCAACACGGCATCAAAATATTATAAAAAGATGAGAAATAAAAAAAAAGCCACCAAACAAGCTGATGTAGTGTCAAGGGGAATGAGAAAATGAGAGTGCGCATCAAATATCCATTGGATAAGAAACTGTGCTGTCAACCAAAGTAAGAATTTTGACATTTTTTTTATATTTCTCATAAATTGTAGAAATAAAAAAAAAAGCCACCAAACAAGCTGATGTGGTGTCAGGAGGAATGAGAAAATGAGAGTGCGCATCAAATATCCATTGGATAAGAAACTGTGCTGTCAACCAAAGTAAGAATTTTGACATTTTTTTATATTTCTCATAAATTGTAGAAATAAAAAAAAAAGCCACCAAACAAGCTGATGTAGTGTCAAGGGGAATGAGAAAATGAGAGTGCGCATCAAATATCCATTGGATAAGAAACTGTGCTGTCAACCAAAGTAAGAATTTTGACATTTTCTTTTATATTTCTCATAAATTGTAGAAATAAAAAAAAAAAGCCACAAAACAAGCTGATGTGGTGTCAGGGGGAATGAGAAAATGAGAGTGCGCATCAAATATCCATTGGATAAGAAACTCTGCTGTCAACCAAAGTAAGAATTTTGACATTTTTTTTATATTTCTCATAAATTGTAGAAATAAAAAAAAAGCCACCAAACAAGCTGATGTAGTGTCAAGGGGAATGAGAAAATGAGAGTGCGCATCAAATATCCATTGGATAAGAAACTGTGCTGTCAACCAAAGTAAGAATTTTGACATTTTTTTATATTTCCTCATTAATTGTAATCCCAAAAGTGATGCTACATTCTTTACGAATTGTCACTACTTTGATATGAATTTATACAAATATATTGCTACAATGTAATTAAGTTAAAAGCACAAAAGGTAAGACAATTTTCAAAAAATATAAAATATATTAAATTATATTTTAATAAAAGTAGATAAGAGATTAGCTAAATTGTAATACTATATTACTACATAAAGTACTTCATCAGTTTTATTTTATTTTGTTTTTGTAAGTTTGTTCTTAAAAATTCCTATAAGAGTAGATGAAAGTCTTGACTATAATATTGTTTATTTATTGCTTTATAAAGTACTATTTATTCTTTTTGTTTAAAAAAATAATCTCTTTCTTTTAATTTGTTTATAAAAGAATAGTCTCTTTCTTTTTTGGGTAACATTTTTATTTTAGATTTTCACGTGACATGTTTAAAGTCACAATATTAAAGGAAAATTTAGTATATTTGACATAATTTTAATTTAAAACCACAAGATTTAAAAGTCTTCTTTATTTTCTTACATTCCGTGCAAAGTCAAATTAGATTCTTTTTGAAATGGAGGGAGGTAATATTCATAAAAAATGAAAAAGAATAAACAAAACAATATATCAATCCGAATAAAAATGAATAACCGATAAATAAGAAAATACACTAGAATTACAAAATGATGAAATACAATGGTGTAGTGAACTAACATTTTTTGTCCAATTTATAAAGAAAGAAATTGTGTGCATCAACAGTTGTGAATGAATGTGAACGTATGGAAAAAATATAAATTACTTAAATCTGTAGATGGATATGGTTGTGTCGATGACATAGAATCAAAAATTTGTTAATAGATTTACCTCTTATTTTTTGCTAATAGATAAAGAATAAAGAACATAAGGAGTTATTATAGAAAGGGAAAATTGTATAAAATATCAAACTAATAACCTAAATTAAATAGAATAGTTAGAGTTTGATTTAATTGTGCTCCATAGCAAACATTATCTAAAATTTGCCAGCGTCTCTCTTCCAGGAATCTCGCTCGCCACTCTCCATTCTCGCTCGCCTCTCTCGCTTTATACACAGAAGTGTATAATTCTGTTTCTGTTTTGTATAAAGCGAGAGAAAATTGTATATACACATGCAAAAATGTATATCTTTGTGTTATACACTTAATTATACAATTTACAAACATTTTACTTCAAAAATTGCAGAGAAAAAGGCCAACGAATTATACAATTGCAAATTATACAATTGCAGTGAAATACAATTTTCTCTACCTTTATACAACAGAAGTGTATATATTGTGTTTCTGTTTTTGTATAAAGCAAGAAAAACATATATCTTTTTGCTATAAACTTATAATTATGCAATATACATACATTTTAATTCGATTCAACTATAAGGTCACTAAATTATACAATTGCAGCGAAATAGGCCAGCGAATTATACAATTTAGGCCAGCGAATTATACACTTGTATATGTATAGCGAATTATACAGTTTTTATGTTTGCTATGGAGCGCAATTATGCAAAGTTTGCTATATTATACAGAATTTTTTGTTTGCTATATATAAAAGTTGCCCTTATAGAAATGTCTAGTAAAAACATAAAAGAAAAGACATTCATTTCATAAACAATAAAAGAGAAATCATTCAAATGAATATAAAAGAATGATTTACCTTTTCATCTACTGTGGTCATACAACTTCCATTTTTCTATTAGTTTGCATTTGTTATTTATGTTATAATGCGTATCATGATGTTGACTACGCATTTGTTGTGATTAAATCAAATGACTCTTCTTCATTCTTTCCATTAGGACTAAAAGTCCTAAATTTATATGAATGCCGCAATAATGTATTAAGGTTTCCTTTTCAGCAAGAACCAAGAATTAAAGAGTAGTACATGCACTTCATATTTGAGGACGAATTTACCCCACAAGTTAATGGGTTCGATAGAACTAAATAGCTTTGACGTATTCTTCATATTTTTATTTAAGTAATCCACTCGAGTATCAACAATTTATTTCGAATTCAGAACCTATAAACTTAAAATCTTAAATATGTCAGCTATAAGCTAGACTAGAATGATGATCTATAACACATATTTGAAAGTTCCCTATCATTTTAAGACATAAAAAAGTGATAGAAATGATGGCAATCAAACAAATTTTCATCAAAATGATACTACACATAAATATACAGTTACTGAAGGGTTTGCAATTTACATACGCACATTGACAGATTTCTGGGCACATACGTAAGACCTCGAGCCAATTTGCAGATAACAGAGATAGTCCATGACATATTTATGAATTACTTTTTATACAATGACACCTTCCTAAGATATTCTTCTACAACTTTTCATTTATTCATTTACTATATTTGAAACAATAAAATAATTAGAGATTCTTCGTAATAAATAAATAACAATACAAATTCCTAACTTTCCTTCTATTCTTCTTCGAAATCTTTGACACTTGTCTTGACACAAAGATTTAACTAATTAACTCATTACTTAAAAAATTTAAATGGAAAACACAATGATGAAATGAAAAAAAGTGGTATGAATACCACAAATCAAAATAAAAAACATTAAAACACACATTTATCTTCATAATCATAGTCACCATTCGGTAAGAGTTGTTAGTTGAGGTTAGTTTTTCTAATGTTGAATATCGTTATATTTAAGTGTCATACAATACTCTATCCTTAGTTTAAGTTTGACAATTACTTGCACAAAAGTACTACAATGAATATGAAAATTATGGATCATCCACATCACATTAGTTTGGATAATTGTTAAGGCATAATATTAGTGACAATATTAATAATTATATTATGCTATTCTTCTATACAATTAATAAAACATTTATTTCTGAACACAAATACA